TTAACTTCACAAACTAAAGGAAGTAGCCTATGTACCTTTATAATTATTTTTTAACAGACCCCAAAAAGGAACAAATTAACGACCTTCTTGGGGTGGCGAAGGACGAAGGATGGTGTCCTTCCTAATGCAAATCGTTTGGTCACGCTAGTTTTATGTTGTCATTGATAATACTGCGTGAAGATTAAAAGATGATGCAGAAATGCTGGCTATTTCAAGGCTAGGATTGTTTACATGACAGCGGAAGATTATCATAGAAAAAAGGAGGGGGGGGGGGTAGAAATAGCCTAAGCTACTCTATCCCTTCGATATGTATTTTCTTGTCTTTCTTTCTGAAGTTGAATTTGATTTGATGATTTACTACCAAATACAATGTAGTAGTAAGTCTTTTTCATTGTTAGTGTGAGTTTGTTGGTTGACATCCATGAGTGGACTTTTTTTTAATTCATTATTGACAATATTATTTAGTGTGTGTATGTATGTTAAGATACAGAAGGTAATAACTGAATAAATGCTAGGATTCGTATAGTAATGACTTATCATTTGTGAAATGCTTCAGGGTGCAAGTTCTACTCTGCTTAGGCTAGGAAGATATAAGTATTTTTTTTTTTTTAGATACATACAAGAGTTGTTACATTCTTGTACAACCACTAGTACGCGTAGCGTTTCGGGCAGGTCCCTGGAATACGATCCCCTGCCGCGAAGAATCGTTTTTTCATCCAAGTACACATTTTACTGTTGCGTTAAACAGAGGCTACAGTTAAGGAATTGCGCCCAGTAAATCCTCCCCGGCCAGGATACGAACCCATGACATAGCGCTCGCGGAACGCCAGGCGAGTGTCTTACCACTACACCACGGAGACTACATTTGACCAACATTTTTGTCACCACGGGATGGGCGGCTCTGGCGAGAAATTTGTGGGTGCAAAATACCTCACTAGCAGTAGGGTTGACGGGGCAAGCTGGCGGTCCTCGGGAAAAATATGACGGGGAAGAAAATGGCTTAACAGCAGGACCAGCTGGTGGTCCTGACGAGTTATCAGGCAAAATGGTGGTCTTAGCGGGAGAGCTGACAGGAGGACGGGCTGGCCCTGGTGGAGAGTTTGTGGAGCAAGCTGGCCAGCATGGCAAAAGTGTTGACAGGCTAAGCTGTGGTCCTGGCAGGAGAGTTGACGGGGCGAGCTGGTGGGTCTGGCAGGAGAGTTAACGGGTCATTAATAACACTTTCGCGCTTAGGATTATCCATGAGTCGTCACCGTATTTTCTTACGTTTACGCATAACAGACGACGCCTGTAGTCCATCGAAAAAATATTTGTATAAAATCCATTTATTATCCGATCAACTTGGGAATAGTATACAAATGTTTGCCATGAACTTTACGTTTTCTCTAATAGCCGAACAGCTTATAAAAGAAAACGGCGTGGCAGTGAATCATCGTGGTAAAACAATTGTATTATTGACACGACGAGTGTAATCGACGTAGTTTTTATATATGTTGCCGGTCGAACGCATCCTTATGTGACCTTTAATACTTATGTTCTTATAGAACATTCTATTGCGAGCACATTGGTACAAAAATGAAATACATACATCGACAAATAATGTCAGGACAGTGAATTGAATATACACTTTTCAAAGCGAGTTTCGCCGATATGCTGCCGCGGGTAACACTTCGGCCACTTCCCACACTGTTTTGGGTAGGCTACGACAGTGAATCTATATTTATATGCATATGTCCGTGTAGAGAATTTTATTGCGATTCCAATGATACCACAATTAGCGATGTAGGACAACTGTAGGCTTCGCAACCATTAAGAGAGTGGAAACATTTTGTTGCTGTTTGGCGCTCTTGGCGAGTGATCTGAATAGTTTTTTATTTGGTGTTGATAGTCCTTATGGTTTGGCGGCATTTTATAGATATGTTCTTATAGACAATTTTATTGCGAACACAGTGATACCAAATTTAAATACGTGCGCCTTCAATTATTATCAGGACAGTAAAAAGAGTGTACACTTTTTCGGTCTTACCGCGTAGGCGCGCGGAGCGCGGAAAGCATGTAGGGTATTATTTTTTTTGAGTGCCAAGAGTGTGAAAGTGTGCTGGCGACCCTGACAGTATAGTCAACGGGGTAAGCTAGCGGCCCTGGCAAGTGTTAACAGGGCAAGCTGGCGGCCCTGGCGGGAGAAGAGGGGCAAGCCAGTACCCTTGACAAAAGAATTGACGGGACAACCTGGCGGCCTTAGCAGGAGTTGACGGGGGCAAGCTTGAGGCAGTGACAGGAGAGCCGACGGGACGGGACGGGAATTATCAGGGAAAAGCGCCAAGCCATTATGACTATATAGCACTTGGAAGGTGTCAGGATGTTCTCCTTGACAGGAGAACTGACGGGGCAAGCTGGCGGCCCTGGCAGGAGAATTAACGGGGAAAAATGGCGGCTCTGGCGGGGGAGATTACAGCAAACTGGCGGGAGAAATAGGGCAAGCTGGTGGCATTGACAGAATTAGTGGGCCAAGCTGGTGGTATTGACAGAATTAACGGGCCAAGCTGGTGGAATTTTGACAGTTAACGGGCCAAGCTGGTGGAATTTTGACAGTTAACGGACCAAGTTTGAGGTATTGACAGAATTAACGGGCCAAGCTGGTGGTATTGACAGAATTAACGGGCTAAGCTGGTGGTATTGACAGAATTAACGGGCCAAGCTGGTGGTATTGACAGAATTAACGGGCCAAGCTGGCGGCCCTGGAGGGAGAGTTGGCGGCAGTGATGGCTCTGGTGGGAAAGTTGACGGAGAAAATGACAGGAGAGTTGATGGGGCAATCTGGCAGCGATGGCGGGAGAGACGGGGCAAGCTGGCAGCCCTAAAAGGAGTTGACGGGGCAAGCTGGCAGCCGTAAAAGGAGTTGACGGGACAGCTTGCAGCCCTAGAGGGAAAGACGGGGTAAGCTAGAGGCCCTGGTAGGAGAATTTACAAGGACGGAAATATGGCCGCCCAGGCGGGAGATTTGACGGGGCAAGTAAGTAATTATGAAAGGAAGGACCAAGCCAGGAAGGCTGTATAGCACCAGTTGACGGAGCAAGCTGGCGGCCGTGGCGGAAGAGCTGACAGTGCAAGCTCACGGCGGCCATGGTAGAAGAACTGACGACAATCTGGTGGTTTTGACGGGGGCACAATGGCGGCCCTGGCAACTGTTGATGAAGAAGGGGAAGGGAGTCGGTAGCTAGAAAATTGACAGGACAAGCTGGCAGGCTGGTTCGAGAAATGATGGGGCAAGCGGACAGCCCTGGAGGGAGTATCGACGGGGTAAACTGGTAGCCCTGACGGGAGAGGTGACATGACGGGGCGTCGCGGCCCCCGGGCTGGGGGCCAGTTGACGCGGGAAACACGGTCGGCGACGCAAGATAGAAAAGCGGGAAAATTAGGTACTACTTTGTGTAGACTTGAAACTGAATACTGCGGTCATTATGTTTATAATGATCGAAACAGTCACAGATTAAATTTTTAATTTCTAGGTAATTAATAACAAATATGAGGCGTAAATCTGTGCTAAATTCTGCTTGTATATAAATTGTTGCACTTAATTAACTATATCAAATGACATGCCAAAATGAAATAATATGCGAGTAAAAATCATATAAAATAATATTTGTATCAATAAAGTTTTAGCCCAAAACATTTGTTGTATCAGATTTCGAAATAGATTTATTGTAAACATTTTAAAATAATATATTTGATAGCAGCTTCCTCGACTGTATTAATCCGCGAGGCTGCGACGTCTGACCCGGGAACCGCGAATCTCGTCTTCATTCGCCATCGTGCCTCCGAACGGACCGGTTGCTGCAGGTAAGTCTCTTGCTGCCTATACCTCTTGTTGACCTTCCGTCAATAATATTAGCATATTATCTTTTTGTGTCTTTGCTAGTGAGGCCCCCAGGATAATATTCAGCGGTTTACATATAACATAAGCAAGGGAGCAGTGAACATAAGTGACCCTTGGTATACTGACGGTGGAGTTTTAGGCTTACAGAGTCCGTCCGACGGCCAGTTGGACGGACAACCATCAACAGTTGTATATCTCTTTCCAAATTTTGATATATTTGACAGTAATCTTTTATAGTATTCCCTTCTGTGCACCCGGACAAATATCACTCGTAAGTACCTTGTGTTTTTGTGATTTGCCGTTTTTATATAAATAAATACGACAAAATCCTTATCTTTTCAATTAGGCTGTTGTGTCTAGCTATTCATATGTAAGGTAAAACCAATTAAGCTGTTGTGTCTAGCTATTCATATGTAAGGTAAAACCAATTAAGCTGTTGACATTTTTTGAAGTCATATTGGTACCTATGATAAGCCTATTTTTTTTTTTTTGCAGGGATATTCCTGCGCGGGCCCTAAGTCTCTGGCTGGCCCACTAAGTGTTGCTTGTTCCAGTTTTACTTGGACGGAGTATGAGTACTTATGACTCGTATAAAGTAAGTAAGATTCTGAACCATGTGTTTAACAACTTCTGCTCTGTTGAATCTTAAGTTGAACTCTTATTGGGTTTGTAACTGCTAGCTGGTGGTGGTGGTGGTGGACATGCTAGTAGAGATATGAACAGAAACTGCAATAGATTATGGTGTATATCTGAGATTCGATTACGAATGAAATTGAGTTGACAGATGATTACAGAAATGCTAAGGTACTGAGGCTAATGATTATATATATATGTTAATATACAGAAGGTAATAACTGAACAAATGCTAGGATTCTTATAGTAATGACTATCATTTGAGAAATGCTTCAGGGTGCAAGTTCTCCTCTGCTTAGGCTAGTAGGATGTAAGTACAGTATTGACTCATAACATTTCTATCGCCACTGGATGGGCGGCTCTGGTGAGAGATTTGTGGGTGCAAAATGCCTGACTAGCAGTAGAGTAGACGGGACAAGCTAGCGGTCATGGCGGGAGAGACGGGGCAAGCTGGCGGTCATGGCGGGAGAGACGGGATAAGCTAGCGGTCATGGCGGGAGAGACGGGGCAAGCTGGCGGTCATGGCGGGAGAGACGGGGCAAGCTGGCGGTCATGGCGGGAGAGACGGGGCAAGCTGGCGGTCATGGCGGGAGAGACGGGGCAAGCTGGCGGTCATGGCGGGAGAGACGGGGCAAGCTGGCGGTCATGGCGGGAGAGACGGGGCAAGCTGGCGGTCATGGCGGGAGAGACGGGGCAAGCTGGCGGTCATGGCGGGAGAGACGGGGCAAGCTGGCGGGAGAGACGGGACAAGCTAGCGGTCATGGCGGGAGAGACGGGGCAAGCTGGCGGGAGAGACGGGGCAAGCTGGCGGTCATGGCGGGAGAGACGGGGCAAGCTGGCGGTCATGGCGGGAGAGACGGGGCAAGCTGGCGGTCATGGCGGGAGAGACGGGGCAAGCTGGCGGTCATGGCGGGAGAGACGGGGCAAGCTGGCGGGAGAGACGGGACAAGCTAGCGGTCATGGCGGGAGAGACGGGGCAAGCTGGCGGGAGAGACGGGATCGACAAGCTAGCGGTCATGGCGGGAGAGACGGGGCAAGCTGGCGGTCATGGCGGGAGAGACGGGGCAAGCTGGCGGTCATGGCGGGAGAGACGGGGCAAGCTGGCGGTCATGGCGGGAGAGACGGGGCAAGCTGGCGGTCATGGCGGGAGAGACGGGGCAAGCTGGCGGTCATGGCGGGAGAGACGGGGCAAGCTGGCGGTCATGGCGGGAGAGACGGGGCAAGCTGGCGGTCATGGCGGGAAACGGGGCAAGCTGGCGGTCATGGCGGGAGAGACGGGGCAAGCTGGCGGTCATGGCGGGAAACGGTGCAAGCTGGCGGTCATGGCGGGAAACGGGGCAAGCTGGCGGTCATGGCGGGAAACGGGGCAAGCTGGCGGTCATGGCGGGAAACGGGGCAAGCTGGCGGTCATGGCGGGAAACGGGGCAAGCTGGCGGTCATGGCGGGAAACGGGGCAAGCTGGCGGTCATGGCGGGAAACGGGGCAAGCTGGTGGCTGTGACAAGAGAATGGCTGGGCAAGCTGGCGGCCGTAATTTAAAGGAGTTGGTGGGGCTAGCTGGCGGCGCTAAAAGGTGTTGACGGGTCAAACTGGCGACCGTGACGGAAGAGTTGATGGGCCATTAAGGTCTCGGCGGCCATGGTGGAAGAGTTGACAGCAAACTGGTGGCTTTGGGCGGGAAAGTTGACGGGGCAAAATGGCGGCCCTGGCAAGTGTTGACGAGGAAGGGGATGGAGCCGGTAGAAAGTTGACGGGACAAGTTGGCGGGCTGGGTAGAGAGAGGACGGGGCAAGCGGACGGCCCTGGAAGGAATATCGACAGGGTAAACTGGTAGCCCTGACAGGAGAGATGACGGACATGACGGGGCGTCTCGACTCGGGCTGGGGGGCAGTTGACGCGGGAAACAGTGTGCGACGCAAGGCAGAAAGAGCAGGAAAATGAAGAACTACTTTTTGTTGAGTTGAAAATGACTACTGCGAACATTATGTTTATAATGATCAAAAGTCATAGGTAATTAAGAACCAATATGAGGCACGAAACTGCTAAATTTTGTATTTATGAAATTTCTTGCAGTTAATAACACACTCAGACACACATAGAGACAAACACACACAGACAGACACACACAAGAGACAGACACACACACAAGAGACAGACACACACACAAGAGACAGACACACACTCAAGAGACAGACACACACACAAGAGACAGACACACACACAAGAGACAGACACACACGCAAGAGACAGACACACACGCAAGAGACAGACACACACGCAAGAGACAGACACACACGCAAGAGACAGACACACGCAAGAGACAGACACACACGCAAGAGACAGACTGACACACAGAGACAGACTGACACACAGAGACAGACTGACACACAGAGACAGACACACACACAGAGACAGACACACACACAGAGACAGACACACACACAGAGACAGACACACACACAAATACAACAAATGTACAAATAGGTGAGTACAGAGACAGACGCAGACAAAGAGGCTGACACAAAGGCAGACAGAGACAGACACAGAGGCTGACACACAGACAGACACAGACAGACACACAGACAGACACACACACACAGACAGACACACACAGAGTCGTGGTCAGGTTGTGGGGACGACAGCCGGAGTCCTGACGGTCTCCAGGTCAAGCCCATTATTATTTTAGTGCTGGGGAGACGGGACACCACGAGCGTAGCTTTCATCCTGTAACTACACTTAGGTAATTACACTTAGGTAATTACACACAGACAGACACACACACACAGACAGACAGACAAAGACAGACACAGAGACGGATAGAGACAGACACAGACAGGGATAGAGACAGACACAGACAGGGATAGAGACAGACACAGACAGGGATAGAGACAGACACAGACAGAAACATACATAAAACAGACACAGAAACAAACACAGACAGAAACAGAGACAGACAGACAGACAGAAACAGACACAGACAAACAGACAGAGACAGACAGACACAGAGGCAGACACAGAAACAGACACGGACAGAGGCAGACACATAGACAGACGGACAGAGATAGAGACAGACACACATAGATACATAGGTGGGTACACAGACAGACAGGGATAGACAGACACAGGCAGACACGGACACGGACAGACACGCAGACAGACAAACTCAGAGACAGACATAAACAGACACAGACAGAAACAGACACACAGACAGACACAGAGACAAATTCAGACAGACACAGACTCAGAGACACACACAGACAGACTCAGAGACAGACACACACAGACACATAGGTGAGTACAAATAGGTGAGTACAGAGACAGACGCAGAGACAGACAAAGAGGCTGACACAAAGGCAGACAGAGACAGACACAGAGGCTGACACACAGACAGACACACAGACAGACACACAGACAGACACACAGACAGACACACAGACAGACACACATACAGACACACTCACAGACAGACACACAGACACAGACAGACTCAGAGACTGACACAGAGGCAGACACAGTGACAGACACAGAGGCAGACACACAGACACTTGGGACCAAAGAGCCAGAGCTCAACCCCCGCAAGCACAAATAGGTGAGTACACAGACAGACACACGGACATAGACACAGACAGACTGATACTGATTTATTTATTTATTTATTGATTATTGATTTATTTATTTATTTATTTATTTATTTATTCATATACAAGAATGTACATAAGGAATGTGAGGATACAAATATGGTAATTACAGTCTTGTAAAGCCACTAGCACGCGCAGCGTTTCGGGCAGGTCCTTAATCTAAGAAAATTTTAAGGAGGTAAATACTTGCAAAATTTATAGACAAAACAATGATAACAGATTACATGAAATGAAAAAAAAGATGAGAGAAAATTGTAGGTACAGTATATTAAAGCACATAGGTAGCTAAGATTGATTGCAATGACAGCTTGAATGGTAGTTGACAACAAATTGGTAGGCACAATACAGCAGAAACAATATAAGATTGATTGCAATGACAGCTTGAATGGTAGTTGACAAAAATTGGTAGTCACAATACAGCATATGGCTAGCACATAAAAGAAGACAGCAATGAACACAATGATAAGGTTGTTTGATATTACATAAAAATTAGGAGATTGGGTAACACTAGGTACAGAGCAAATTTAAAGCTCAGTGTAGGAAACTAAGAAGATGAAGTTAGGTACTTTTTGGTTTTGCTTTTAAAAAAGGCAAAAGTTTTACAGTTTTTCAATTCACTAGGGAGTGAGTTCCATAGACTAGGTCCCTTAATTTGCATAGAGTGTTTACACAGATTAAGTTTGACCCTGGGGATATCAATGAGATATTTATTTCTGGTGTGGTGATAATGGGTCCTATTACATCTGTCCAGGGAGAGTTTCAAAGCATGGTTTGCATTTAAGAACAGGGTTTTGTAAATGTAGTTGACACAAGAGAATGTGTGGAGGGAGTTAATATTTAGCAAGTTTAGGGATTTAAACAAGGGAGCTGAGTGTTGTCTGAAAGCAGAGTTAGTTATTATTCTGATAGCAGATTTTTGCTGTGTGATGATGGGCTTAAGGTGGTTTGCAGTGGTAGACCCCCATGCACAGATACCATAATTAAGATAGGGGTAGATTAGTGCATAATATAGTGAGAGGAGAGCAGAGTTAGGAACATAATATCTGATTTTGGAGAGTATACCAACTGTCTTAGAGACTTTCTTAGTTATGTGTTGAATGTGGGTGCTGAAGTTGAGTCTCTTGTCTAGGAATAGGCCAAGAAACTTGCCATCATTTTTATTACTGATGTTAATGTTGTCTATCTGTAGCTGAATTGCATTTGATGATTTGCTTCCAAATAAGATGTAGTAAGTCTTTTCGATGTTTAATGTTAGTTTGTTCGTTGACATCCATAAGTGGACTTTTTTTAATTCATTATTCACAACATTATTTAGTGTATGTGGGTTGAGGTTTGAAAAGATAAGGGTAGTATCGTCAGCAAACAATATAAGTTTGAGAATATTAGAGACATTAGGCAGATCGTTAAGGATCAATAAGGATATTCTCATGTTAAGAAGTAACTTGATATTTTCATATTTATTTTTATATAATCATTTTCAATTTATCCTATTTGACTTGATTTTGTTAGGTTCCCCGTTTGTAACAACACTTGGGTAATTACATGCACAGACGGATACTCGTCCTGCCGTGGGAATCAAACCCAGACCATTTATGTCTTGAACTCACTGGATGGCCCATGAGGAAAATTGTTAAACAGTAAAGGGGCATTCTCATGTTTGTAAGGAGTGTAATTGCATATTTCCTCTTTACTGCTAAGTGTGTGAAGGCACTGCTTGACAGTCAACACGCCCAAATAATTGTCGTTCATGCCATGGGAAATCAAACCCAGGCTATTTCATTGTTATTTGCCCCCCCCCCCCTCAAACCTTTGTAATAAAAATTGGTTTATTCATTTTGTGTTTGCTCGAAACACTTTGCATAATAGTGGCTTCATAGATTGTGTAACTCCTGTCCTTACAATTTGTACATTACTCCTTTGTTCTTTGTACACACATTCTTTTGAATAAAAATTGTAAATTGTAAATTTTGACTGTGAACTGACTCGACAGCCCATGTTGTAAGTTGTTTAAAATTTTTGGTATTCTCCATTTTTAAAGAGTTATTTCATATTTACCTATTTGCCGCTGGATGTATGAAGGCACTGTGTGAAAATCAACATGCCCAAATAAATGTCAATCCAGCCATTGGAATCAAACCCAGGCCATCTCGAATGTGAACTGACTTGACTGCCCATGATGTATCAAGGGTATCCTCAGTTTTTAGAAGTAAACATTGAGGGTATTCTCAGGTTCTGAGAAGTAATTTCATATATATACTATACCTATTTGCAGCTAGGTATATGTATGCACTATATGAAAGTCAACATGCCCAAATAAATGTCTGTCCTGCCATGGGAATGAAACCCAGGCCATTTCAGTTGTGGACTGATTCGGTGGCCCATGATAAAAAAATTGAAATAAAAAGGATATTCTCATGTTAAGGAGTAATATAGTAATTAATTAAGGAGTAATTGTTTCTCCCCAAAACACTATTCGTGTTAGTGGCTTTACATGGCCATCGCAGATGTGAAATGATTTTATATCCAATAATGTATCAAGAGTATCCTCAGTTTTTATTTAAGTGTCCTGTATACTTATTTACTGCTATGTATTCAGAGGAATCTTTGAAAGGAAACAAGTGCCTGAATAAGTGTCGGTCGTGCCATGGAAATCAGACACAAACTTATTCGGATTGGTCAGTTTTACTATCATGCAGGTACAGTAAAAGGATTCAGACTGACTTGACAGCCGAGGGTGAAAATTTTTAAGCATTTGAAGGTATTCTCAGGTTCTAAGAAATAATTTCATATATACCTATTTGCAGTTAGGAGTATATAGGCACTGGGTGAAAGTTAATGTCCCTAAATTAATGTCTGTGCTGCCAGGGAAATCAAACCCAGGCCATTTCAGTGGTGATCCGATTCAGTGACCCATGATAAAAAAAATTTAACAATGAGGATAT